GTATATGTATATGTATATGTATTGTGTGTTGTGTGTTGTGTATTGTGTATTGTGTATTGTGTATTGTGTGTATGTATGTATGTATGTATGTGTGTGTGTGTTTTTGTGTAGAGGGGCGTTTCGTTGCATTTTTGCGCACTTGCGAGCACGCGGCGATGGGTAGACTTGAGCGCTTGGCTAGTTTCTTGCTTGATCCTTTACGAGTGGATCCGCCAGTCCTAGATGTGAACCTTGCATCAGAGCCTTGTGAACCGTCACAACACCTACTCTGCAAGAAGAGGAAGTCTGACAGAATAGAGGGATCTGCGGCATGCTTGATCGAAGGGATGCATGCATCACATAATGCTTGGCGTTGGAAAGTTGAGCAATGCGATCGTAGCCTCCTTGCCATACCCAACTTGCACGTCGTCATGGAGAAGCTGAACACACATCCGCATAGTTGTTTCGATCTCCGGTTGCCGAAAGCTAAGTTGGCCTCAGCTGTCCTGAAGCATTCTGTGACGGTCATCGAAGGACTAGCCTTGCGTGGTGCAAGGTTTAAGATAGGCATCACTACAGACCCGGGCTTCCGCTGGTCGAACCCGTCATTTGGGTATGCGCATGCAACAGAGATTTACACAACCATGGTGATGTATCAATCCTGAAGACAATGGAAGCAGCTGCTTATTTGGAGGCTTCTTTGATTCGAGAGTTCCGGGAGCACAAATTGTGTTTGAACGAGGCTTTAGGCGGAGAAGGGGCTATGATCGATGCATCGCCCGGATTTGTGTACGTTGTTCATACGTGCTTCGAACCAATTTAGGGCCAGGTTCTTGAAGGTTCGCGGGTTTAGGTTTGCAGTGTGGGAGCAGGAACACGTGCCTGGTGCTCGGTGTTGAATATTCATGCAACCATACGTACTGTGACGAAGGTTATTTTATGCAGTAGGGTTCATGGTAAATAGAATGCCCATCCATCCTTCTCCTGCACAGCTGCTCCTGTGTGCACAAGCATGTATGTCTGCGTGTGTGTGTGTGTGTATGTGTGTGTATGTGTGCATTAGTGTTAGTGACTGTTATAGTGTTAGTGTTTAGTCTGGGGTGCTAGCTGATATAGGTCGTTTGTGTCTGTGTGCTTTGTGCGTTTTTACCTAGCAGTGAGCACGATCGAGTAATTAGAGTGAGTGCGTGATGGACAAATAGTCGCATTGTCTGTGTAGGCGAGTGTAGCTTTGCATCTTGACTCGTTGCCATCCCCTCGACCACGGCAACTGCCATGGCGGAGAAAGCGCTTGCGGGATTTCTTTCCACCGGTCACCACCTGATCTTGCTTAATGCCTGGAAGGATATTTCTGTTCCACAGGACAGACAAGGTTTTATAGGAGGTGTTGCTGTGTGTACTCCAATACCCCGCGTATGTTAGGGTTGAACCTGTGTGGGGCTTGCATCTCCTTGCATATCCGGAGGAAGAATTCCTGCAGATAGATTATTCGCAGATTCCTCACGATGGCGTTGAGAAGATTCCTCCGGAGATGCGTACCAAGTTCATGCGGGAGAACCACACGGTGCTTCTCAAGTCTCCTAACTTTCTCATTGATTTGGGAGCTTTGTCGTCACACTTTCTTGCCAATGCCGCAGCCCGTAAAAACAAGGTATTCAGATGATGATGTAGTACTGGCAGCCAAGGAGCCTGGAGGCCTTTTCCATTGCGGAGCGGGTTTTCTCAGTGGATCAAGTTTCCTACTGTATTGTGCAGAAATATGGTGGTGACACTCAACTCGCATGATTAGTATTATTCCTGATCGAGCTGTCGATGTGGCGGTGCCGGGTTGATACGCTATAGATATCGTCGGCATGCGGAGTTTTACGCTCAGGAAGTTGCAAAGGCGGACTTGGCACACAACCAGGCTGGATCCCTGAAAGGGCTTGTGTCTCGATTGCAGCAGCAAGCGATGCATTTCGATATCGTGGCGGGCCCATGAATGTTCGTGTATATCTAAGGTGAACTACATTATCCGTGAAGCCAAAAAAACCGTTAACGCCCGGCTCGAGTGGCTTGGCCAGCTGAAGGTAGCTTGGCGCAGTCTGGCGGGAGGAGGGTCGTGCATTGGTGGACATGAGTTCTGCTCAGTGCTCAATGACACACACGCATATATTAATGATTGGCCAGGCCGCGGTGGGGCCCTCGCTTCGCGAAAGAAAATATAGCCGCCCCAAGAAGAAGGACAACCCAGCAGAAGAACCGGAAGAGTCGTCACCGGCAGAGTCATCGAAGTCATCAGGACACAGTTTCAACTCAAGTCGGGTTTGCGGTGGCACGTCTATACATACATTGACATACATATAACACATGCACACATGAGCCTAATAAATATACACACATACACACATATATGCACGCATACAAATATAAGTGTAAAAGCACTAAATGCTCAAAAAATGTGTACATATATACGCATGTATATATACGAATGTGTGTGTGTGTTCGCTCACGATACTTGAGATTTCTTGGCTATCTCAACCTGTCGTCAGGAACCACGGCTTGTCCAAACCCTGACAACATCGATACTCTCCCCTGGCCAGGACCGATGGTTCCAGCCGTAAGCCCGCCATCTTGCTTGGGAGATGTCATGGCTGGGATTGTTGTTCAAAACGTCACGGTGGACCCCACCATGCAATACAAGAAAAAATTCAAGCAGCTCGTTTCGGAGAAGAACACAAAGGGCAAAAAGGGTGCCCCAGCTGTTATACATTTCCCTTGCTTGCTACCAAACTTAACAACCCCTTTGTAATACGACAATGACACCTTGCAAACAGGAGCAGATGATGATGCTGCTGCGGCCGCTGTGGAGCCCGATGCTGCTCCGGATTCTGCAGAAGGCACCACTATCCGGAGTGCCCTCGATCATACCATGATTCAAATTACCAGATGGCTGGTCGGTGTTCTCAGACCCACATACCCTTAAACCCTAAACCCACCCATATGCCCGGGCTGCCGTGTCAGATTTTTTTGACTCACGGCTGGCAAGGATTCACGACGATTGGTCGTGGCTGTAGGCAAATCAGGAACCTTAATTTTTTGACGGGCTTCAACGTGGTTTAGGATTGTCGAGGTCCGTGGTTTAGTTTGCTTTAGCTTTTCGAGGCCTAAGGCTTTCTGGAGTTGCTTGGCTTCGATCAAGGTGTGACTGATGAAGGACTTTCGGGTTTGTTTTCGGGCTTTCGGCTTGGAGGGCTTCCGACTAAACCCTAAACACTAATCCCTAAACCCTATGTCAGAAATTCGGGCCTTATGTTGTCCAAGGCTCGGTTCACGGGCAGGGTCTATATAGGGTTTAGGGAAATTAAGGGTTTTCTGGAGTTTCGGGCTTTGGTAGTCGGTATTGGGCGGCTTGAGGTTTGCGAGGTTGGCAAATGTTTCCAGGCGCTGCAGAGCTTTAGCAAGGCTTGGCCCATTGATCGCAGATCTATATAGGACTGGGTGTTAAGGTGTGACATATGTTGGATGTAAGGATAAACAATAAGGTCTTATACCTCTAAACAGTACCCTAAACCCTAAACCCTAAACCCCTAAACCCCTAAACCCCTAAATCCCAAACCCTAAACCCCTATGTGACAACCTGGATGCAAGACCCACGGGTTCTGGGTTTCGGACTACGGGTTTTGGCAGCTTCGGTTTTAAGAACACTTCCTGGGTTACGGGCTTCTTCGGGTTCCGTGTTGAAGATGTAAGTATAACGAGAGGGATATATAGGGGTCCTGTGTAAGGCTAGGGCCCGGGGACCGCCGGGACTTTGAATTTATGACTGTATGTTTTAGGTCTTGAGGAGTTTAGGGTCTAATTGGACGTGCTATAAGCCGTCGGCTAGAAATCTTAGTCATATATAATTGGGTAAACCCTAATTAAACCCTAAACCCCTAAACCCTATAGCCGGAAGGTTCTCGCGAGGAAGGCCATGACGAAGACGCCGACGCGCCGGAGCCAGAGGAGAAGTGTTCCTTGGCGATTCGGAAATAGAGTAAATTAAGCTGCACTAGTTGCACGGGATTGCACTTATGGCTGGAGGTGATGGTGGTGATGATGATGATGGGACCGGGGCTGACGCTCCCGCACCCAAGCATGTGCTATCTGCAATTTAAAAGTTGCTTACGTCTATTGCCTCCGAAGTATGGAACAAAGGTCGAATCACTGGGAAGAAGCCAACTGGTGAGGACATGGATCCCCACTGTCTGCATTTTGTGTTGAAACACTACCTGAAGTACATTTCTCAGGACGGCCAAGCTAAGAAGAGAAAGCAAGACAACGGTCCATTGTGGGTGGCGTATCAGGCATTCCTAAGGCTCGTGTCACAATCCTTTTAATCGTTAGTGCGAGAATGTTTGTTTGACCTGGCTGACTCCATGCATGGTGATGGCGCTTCCGTGTAGGTCGGCAAAGCAAGATTATGGCAAGACACAAAAGGCACTTTGGCATACACTTGTGATTTATGCGCACACGGTGCAATGCAACCATGGGAACGGTTATATCGCTTCAAGCCTACTTTTGTGCAACTCAGGAAGCCAACGATCTCTGGAAATGCTCGATGATCCGCCAGCTTCTTGGAGTAAACAATAGCTCCATGCCCCATGTGAGACTGCAGCCCCAGATCGAATATGTACTGCACCCCGTCAACAAAGCCCGACACGACACAACCCCAATATAATAACATCAAACCTTTGTTCGCCCGAGGGTCTTGGTGGGCCAGATGACGGAGTCTGAGAGGAAGAAGCGGCGCCTATAGGTGCAAGGCTACAGCTGCCACGTCCGTGTTGTATGGCGAGTGCGTGTGTACATGTTCCGTTTCTATGTGACACAGGGCAAGGGTTTTTCTCGACATGCTGCGTGCATGTCGGCATGCACATGTGAATGTGCACTCTGCGAGGGCGTGTGTGCTACGCATGCACGTCGGTGTTTCTTGCAGCTGGCACTTGCACCTTATGAGTGCCCGGCCAGCCAGCCTAATTATGTTCGTAGGATTGTGTTCCAGGGGATGTCAAACACCTGATGACCAATCGTGAGGGGAAGAAAGTCACTGTCATGATTGCATGTGTCGGTGCATCTACTCGTTGCTACTGCTGTATCTCTCATCGCATTACCAAGTAAGCTTCATTGTTGTACCAGACATCGATTGGCTAGCAGCATCGCGAGCATCAATATGCAGTGGCCTTCGGCACTTGTCAGTCTGTCAAAGGTAGAGTATCTCACACGTGTCTGGTGTTCTACAGATGTGAATCACTTAAATTTGTGTGTTGTGGAAGCGATGACCAATGGACCGCGACCCCTCGTCAACAATCTCCTGAAAGCTGGTGTGTCTAGGGCTTAGCTGCTTAGCTTGTCAATCTGTCGTAGCCTTGGTTTGGGGTAAACGTGCTCCCGTATGGAACTGAGGCCCAGGGCTTTGGTGGCCATACTCTTCTTGATGTGCTTCATGAGTGGGATAGTTACTTGTCTATTCTTATATGAAAGTATCAGCCATCAACTTGTCGGTGGTCTGGGCACAAGCACTTACCTAGCTAAGGAGCGCCGCGCCGGGAATATCGATGTGTTGGAAGTATTCGCGGGGGCTGGAGTTGTTTGGTTGCATTCGATCATCCTAACCCGAAGCCCTGATCCCCATTTAGGGGTTTAGGGTTTAGGATTTAGGGTTTAGGGTTTAGGGGTTTAGGTTTAGCAACTTTATATCAGAAGCCGAGTCCGAAAAGTCCCGGTCCCCAATAACAACTTGATTTCAAAAGCCTTGGCCAATATCTCAAGCGACCCCAAAACCACGGCAGTCATGGGGGTCGTCTCAGGTCATCTACCAGGAAGCGGTGAGTCGAGGCCTACAGGCTAGAGCCCTGGATGTTGAGTATTCGGAAACCAACGACCTGGCTAAACCCTGGGGATTTCTGTGCCCCGGCTCACATTAGTTCGTCTCCACTACAATCGGGTATCATGCCAGAAAGCATACATGCTGTGGGAAACACACAGAGCCCTGTCCTATAATGGAATCCGATATGTATACACACATGTGTCTGTGTGTATATATATATATATAGAGTAAATACGTAACTAATACATATAAGTGTGTATATGTATACACACATACGTACATACATGCATATACACGTACACACACACACACATATATATATATGGGGCTTTATTTGGTAGCTAGATAGGTAGATAAGCCAGTTTAGGCATACCCCACAGGTCACCCCAAACACCTAGAAGAAAAGTTATAGCAAATTGGAGATCCAAGACGACACCGATGTAATGTAATGGCGAGAGGCCAAAGCGTAAGATGTCCAGTGAACGTTCCTGGGCCGAGGCTGGCTTTGACATATTTGCGACGACTGCGCCGAGGAGGCCTAATGATCCTGGCCCCGGTTGTACATTGAGGGTTTGGGCCCAGGGTTTTGGGGCTTACGGTTTTGGTGCCTAGGGTTTGGGGGCTGAGACTTTATAGGGCCTTCGGTTTCGGGGGAAGGCACAGACAACGAGCATCCCAAGTTTGTGGGTGGCTGCGGGTAGCTGTGGGTGGATAGCTCTGGGTGCGCGGGTTTAGGGCTTTAGGGCCTAGGCCTTGGCAGGTGCGAACTCCTCGTTTGACACGGAACAGGACGCCCACTAAACCCTAAACCCTAAAAACCTTAAAACCTAATATCGCAAAGCCCTTAACAAAACTAAAACCCACAACAACCCTTAAAACCCTAAAGTTTTTAAAGCCCTAACAAATCTTAAAACCCAACCAACCCTGAAACCCAAAAGTACATAAAACGCTAAAACCCGAACAACCCCAAACCCTGAGTTGGCTTTGAACTTTGGTTCAGTTTGCACTGAGTATGTACCGAGTTTCCCCGGCTTGTGTGTCCGATAGATTCTTATTTTCCAAACCTTATGAATCAAAGCTTGAGGTTGGGTCTGTCGTTTTTTCATGTCAAACAACGAGCGATCTGCTCGTTTGCCACGGAGCATGGAGCCGCACGAACACAAAATCATATCAGCGGGGTGGGGTTGGCCTTTCTTCGGGGCCTATTTGGGGTTGTTGCCATGCTGGGGGTGGGACCCGCTTGTTTACATACGTCGGTAACGCTGGTGCTCTCAGGTTCTAGCTTCACCCTCCTGAACATGTACACAACCGGACGAGATGTGCTACTGCCAGAAGGGCTTCAATGCCGAGGGTCCGTTCGTTTGGGGAACTTGCTGGCCAGGAGGACCGGTATAGTCGATGTGTGAGCACCTAGATAATGTTGGAACCCGGTTGAGTCAGGAGCCTCCTTCTTTTCCGTCTGGCACGGGCAATGAAGGTTTTCGTGATTATGGAGCAGCCGGTGCACAGAACCACGGGAGGTCTGGAGGGCTTGGCTCGCTTCAAGGAGATGGCTAAGGCTTTTTCAGTACGACTCTGAGTGTGAATCAGCTTCAAGCTCATGTCAATACAGATGAGGTGGCATAGTCATGGTCTAGTTTCATAAATGAATCTAAGGTCTATCGCTGCCAAATAAACATGGCATCTTTTGCGGCGCCTACCCAGAAGCCAACCTATCTTTACTCGCAGCACGCAAACATCAAGGACTGCAGCCTTAAACCCTCAATTTACAAATCACCTATGCTAATGCTAAACGTTTACGCCAGGAGTTCTGTCGACCGTCCACGACCCGTTCTGGCCACACCCAACAGAGCCGGGAGGTGAAGAAACACATTGTGAAGCGGGGGGTCACTGTTTCCTAACAGCATTACTGGGAGGCCACGCATAATGCTCTAATGTTAACTTTATCTCAGGAGAGTGGCAAGCGGACTGTCACCGGCACTGCAGAGTTGAAGGCATCACAGTTCCTGAGCTTATCACAGGGATTGTCGTTGAAATACTTATATGACTTTCGTGTTTCGGGACCTCGGGCTTCAGGTTTGGCGGTTGTTGAACCCCCCGCGGGCACACGATCTAAGGACATACACCAAGCCGTTCGTGAAGGGTGTCATCGATGTATGGATGGGAGGGTGCAAGGCCGGGTCCAAATCCATTGTCGGTTATTCTATGGCCTGGTTTTGGTGGTTTCGAGTTTGGGCCCGGGGTCTTGGGGCATACGGTGTTGGTGCCTAGGGTTTGGGGGCTGAGGTTTTATAGGGCCTTATATTGGGTTTCGGGGGGAGGGCTTGCGGGTCGGTGGGGGGGTCTAGGGCTTTAGGGCCTATATATAGGCCCTGGCAGCGGCGCCGAACACCTCGTTTGGCACGGAACTAAACCCTAAACCCGAAATGCCTCAAAACTTAATACCCTAAAGCCCTTAACCAAACTAAAACCCTAACAACCCTATAAACCTTTAAGCCCTAAAGCCCTGAAAAAATAAACAAAACCCCAACAGCCCTAGAAACCTAAAGCCCTGCAAAACCTAAAACCCAACTCTCTGAAGAGCTCGTTTGGCACGGAACCAAACCCTAAACCCGAAAAGCCTCAAAACTTAGTACCCTAAAGCCCTTAACAAAACTAAAACCCTAACAACCCTAAACCTTTAAGCCCTAAAGCCCTGAGAAGAAACCCAAAACCCCAACAACCCTATAGAACCCTAAACCCTGCAGAACCTCAAACCGCTCCCTCTCTCGCTCTGTGTTTGTATTACTAAACCGCATGGTGCTCTCTCTCCCCAACCTTGCCTTGAGAACTTTGCAATCACAAATGATTAAGGTTTAAGGCTCTATGGATATTGTGAGACCGAAACCAAACCCCACAGACTTGTAAACCCAGAGTATATCGTCTAGGCTTTCCTGGCACCCCACCCCCCCGTCTCTCTGTCTCTCTCTCTCTCTCTCTCTATATATATACGATCCTATAAATCCTTATATAAACCCTATTATATGAACCCTAAACCCTGATATAGCCCTGGCGAGGTTGCTGGCTGTCATGGATGCAAGGATGCCGCCACCGACTTCACCAACTGCTTCGCGATGCCCGGTGATACAACCTATGACATGGATGAAAATATCCGATTGCTTTTCGACGGTCCGATAGACTGGCAAGAGGACGTAACTTGTCTCCCTATATCACTGATTGCTGCACTTGGCCGCTGCTGTCTTGTTGAGGTAGGTAGTGACCAATCAATCATATCCCTACGAAATCTGTCTAGGCAGACCTGCTGGATGTGGTTAGCTTCATGCTGGACAGCAGCAAAGTGGCTCTCCCGAAGTCGTGGCCGTCGGACTTCCCCTAGCAGTTGTGTTTGGAGAGCGGTCGGTTTCATTTTAGCTCAAAGATACAGCCGGGGGAGGCTGCTAGTGCACAAGAGAGGACAAATAATAACAGCCCGAACGTCTGTGCGAAGCTTCGCTCTGTCTGTGATTGCCTATGAAAAACAATGCATTATATCTATGAACGATGCCTGAACATACAGAAACCACTACGATACGATGAAAAACTGTACTTAGACGGTCTAGAGAGGTCCCGGCCCAGCCCGCGCAGGCACCGAGATCCCTTGTCCAAAACCTGTCCTAAACCTGTCCAAAACCTGTCCTAAATGCGGTAAAATAGTCCTCTTCAACATACAAGAGAGCTTCCTGTAGAATCCCGAATAGATCTGGCCGAAACCTGTAACCGTGCTGCTGCTGTCTGTCCTTTGTCATATGCAACACACACCATTCTGCCGACAGTTGCTGTGTGCATCCGTGATCTGAAGCTTGCACCGTGGCGAACTTTTGGGTTCAGGGACTTTTCAGCATTCCGTGCTTGTGTGCCTGGTCGTTGCAATGGCCAAGCAGAAAGCTGCTACGAAGCCAGCCGCTGCGGCTGGTACTACCGGTAGTGCGACTCTACTGATCGATAGCTTGCATAAACCCCCCTATATATAGACTTAAACCTGCGATGAAACCTAAATAGGCAGAAGGGCGACCTCTATCCGAGGAGCTCGCTTCGACTATTGATGCTGCTTTGCTGGGGAAGCTTGGGCTAACGGAAGAGCAGCAACGGATGGTGAGAGAGAAGATGTCGCTTAGCTTATGTGTTTAGAACAATCGAGCCAGCAACCCTCCTGTACAGACCTGGTACCATATCAAGCTACGCCTAGGTCAGCAATGATGCCCGGCAACAGCCTGCCATCCGAGACGCCGCCAGGAAGCAGCGCTGCTTCCACCAATCCGGCCCCAGCAAAACCCGCGCCCGCAGCGCCCGCAGCGCCCGTCGCGCCCGCAGCTCCTGTGTTGACAACTCCAACCCCCGAGCTTAAGAAGGCGCCCCCGCAGCAACCACCCGTGCTGCGCCGGCCCGGACTACTCGTGTTCCCGTCCGAAGATGAGCCTACCGAAGGTTTTAACGGGCTGTCAGAAACTTGCCCTGCGACGGGGCTCCTAGAGCCTGTGCGGGGACCTTTGCCACCGATAGTGGAGGCACCAACCCCTGCACCCGCCCACCACGCCCCCCCGATCAGACTGGACTCAGCTCTGTCTGTGACGACCAGTGCAACAACAGTTCCTGATGCCGTTGAACAGGAACTGGAGCGGCTCTATGATTCACCTGCTGCTGTTCCGCCCCCGGTGGAGCCTCCAGTACGTGCTGTGTCGAGTCTTGTGCACGCACCGTCTTTCGACGATGCTACATTGCAGGGTCGAGTGGCCAAGGCCAGGCGGTAGACACGATGCCGGTAATCTCGTTTGTTATTGAATCTTACCTCTATGTGTGTATATATATATATAATATGTGTATGTATGTGTGTATAT